AATTTTAACCACCTCAAATTTCATAATAAAAGCGGTTGTTTAACCACCTCTAACATTAAAATTTTGGCCTTCAAATTCAATTCATTACTTCATTTTTTGGTCAAAAATAAATAAATTAAAAAAAAATTACATCATGTTGAATGCAAATAAATGAAAAATTATATAACTCATGCAATATTCTTGCATTTGGGATTATCATATTCTAAATACATAAAAAGTCTTAAAAAATCCACATGAATAAAAAAACTAAAGGATTAAACACTTGTTCAAAATAAATAAATAAAATTCTCAATATGTTCTACCATTGTATTCTTTACCCATAACTTCTTAAAAATCTCTTCATTTATATCGGTAACACTAGTAATTGAGGAACCTTCATAACGCTCGACTTGGAGAGAACGATCCCTTTTCTATAAATATCAAGACAAGTATATTTGAAATAAGTGAATAATGAAATATCATCCATCAACAATAAATAAATTACAATTAAATTTTCATACCATTTTTTGCCTAACATACACAAAAGTTAAGGAATAAATACGACCATTCTCTCCTCATCCAACATCCCTTAATCCCATGTTTGATTACATTCACGTGCCATACACACGGACATCCATGGATCGATATTATCTTTTCTCGATTAATTATTTATAGCACAGGAATTAGTGAATTAAATGCAAGGTGGTCTAAGCAACTCGAGTGATCATTGAGCAAATAATGAATTAAATAGAAAAAGAGATATCTAAATGCCATCGGTTTCAAAATCATTGAAATCCTATGGAAAGTAAAGAGTAACATAGTATGTATTTCCAACCGATTTGCTCATTTTATAATGTCGGTACCCAATCTTTGTGCGTAAAAGGACAACTAATAAATCAAATAAATATTGTTTTGTAGAAGCACTCAACAAAGATGAAAATATTTTAGAAAGATACACCAAAAGACCATGACACAATCTAGAGTTGTCAGTTCTTGTAGACAACTATATGCATGTAATACTCGGAAGGAGAGAGTGATAATTAGATAGTAAAATTACCATCGATCAAAACTCAATTTCGTTGACATGTTCTCGAAAAATAAAAAACAATTTCGGAGAATAACATTAGTAGGGAATATACAAAATGCATGGATACAATTCCTAGAACTTCGAATGACATGCACTCGTATGCGACCAAAAGCAATTTGGGCCATCGGACATATCTGCAGTTGTTGTAAAAATGTCTAGGTTCGATTAACAAACGAAAGACCGGAAGGCATACCGATATTATCCCCCATAAACCCCAAAATAGATGGTTTGCAAGCTTATACTTCTCAACATTTTCAAGTAGTTGCTCTTTTTCAATGTTGGTAGGTAGACCAACCGCATAAAAAACCAATGGCTTGACAAATCGGTGATGATGAAAACAATTTTTGAGGATTTCGGATGAGTTTCAGTTGACATGCAATGCCCAATCGTGACTACTTGATCTTGTATAATGAATCCACTTTTGTCCTCCACTAAGAGTGAGAACTTAAGAATTCAATAAATCATTAATAAAATACTCTTTGGAGATGTAGAATTTCAAGATATACAACATGCAAATGCAATTTGGGTTCTCATTGATGAAGATTACCAAGCTATAGCAGATTTTGGCGATGAAGTATTTGTTGTTCCGAATTAGTTTAGAACTGCAGAACGTACTCGATGGCCAATGCAATAGACACCAAAACAATTTGCTTATTCCTATTTTCCTTTTGGACAACCATAGTTTCAAGAGAAATAACACACACCTTAGATCTCATCGAGTTATCATAAAATTTAACAAAAAGAGAATGTTCTTCTACAACTACCGATATTTTCAACAACTAATCTGTTTGTATCTCGGACGACATCCCCGAAGTTAAAAAAGCTAACACTAGAAGAGCATAATAAAAAAGTTAATCAAGGTAAAAGATTAATATCGGTTATCCAATTAGCTTAGTAACACCCATACCTAAACAAAGTCACACCATTGGTTTAGCAAGTTTCAACCTCCCGACCTAAAACTAATTTCCATGCCGAAACAGACCTTGTTTACGACTTCAAGAGAAATTCTAGAAATATAAGTTGCCTATGGAAAAGAATCCATTAAATCATGCCTATATATCAAAAACATTAGAAATGAGAAAACTTATCGATATTCTTTTGACCATTTTCACAACACATGAAGAATACAAAATCATAGAATTGAGAGAATTTCGAGAAATCCGCCTACAAAGAGGTACGAGTTATAAATAAGAAACACAATACTAAATATTTCTTTCTTTTGCTATAGATAAAAACAGATTTAGGAGTGACAATTCTTAGTGGAGAGCATCAACGAACGAATCAAAAGAAATGTCTCTAGTTCAAGAGATGAATAAATGAAACTCACCATAAGTTCTAGCTTTGACATGAGCTTGAGAAGCTCATCAAAAACTGAAATTCTATCAAAGGAAATGCCATAAACCATTTCAAGAAATAGAGAAATCTAACAAAAGGAAAGTACATATCTAGCTAAAACGAACTTCATAGAACTAAATAGCAAATAAAACTCAACTGGAAGGGTTCATATAAAAAATATAGAGCTGGTGTGATTTTAGAGCAAGCTGAATCATAAGAGCATCGAACAAGACTCAACCATCTAATTGGCAAGTTTGTCTCGTAATCTTCAAATTCAAGAACCCGAAAACCAAGAAACTCAATCAAATCCTACACAAACATCAAATCGATTAAAGATCATCAAAAGGGTATTTCCAAATCCAACAAAATAGTACATTTAACCGAAAAAGATACGATATTTACCAACCTTGAATGGAAATTTAACTCTATAAATTTTAAAAGCTAAACCGAGCATCCTCGAAGGTTTACCCCTATGTACATCATGTTCATTGGTTTGGCATGACTTTACCGACTAATATTATAGTAACGGTTCGTAAATCTCAAAGATTCAATCCCGAGAATCCATTATCACTTTCCTAAGCTTTTTGGAGTATCACTTTCCTAAGCTTTTCGAAAACTTTCATTTTCCCTCGAAAAATTGCAGCAGATTTCACTCTAAGAGCCTAAAGGACTAGGAGGAATTCGTGCTTAAGTTTGTTTCTCCAAAACATGTAAGCAAGCAATGTGTCCGACTTATCAAAAGAAAAAAAGAAGGACCGTATTGTAGATACCGGACGAATTCAAAACAAATTCAAAACAAAAGTTCATGTATAAACAAGCCTAGATAGTGTGTCCGTTTTAACATTATGTTGGATTTTAGTGTAAGCCCAAAGGTTATTCCACCCGTCTCCCTATTTCTATGGGAAATCTTTCAAACATCTCGTAGCCATTTACAAATGAAGTCCGTAACAATCTAACCATTATAGCCATACATTCCTATATTGGTACAAACCGAAATAACATTGGGAGCATTATAATGAGATAAAAGGTGACAATGTTAAAACTTGTGGAGGTTTTAAAAGAAAGGTTAGATGCCCGATTAATGAATTTCTAATCATATTTAGAGATATACCGGGTTTCTCTAGCCCAAACAAGTGACTTCTAGAGGATCTTCAAGCCATCAATATCAAGAGCATGCCACCATCAAATGAAACCAATCCTAGCACAAACCAAGCCTTGTATAGAGCACATGCCTACGACACCAAACATGACAAATAAGGGAATTATGATTCTCTTAGTCGTAAATTACTCATTAAAAATAAAAAATTTAAAGGTAATTAGAAAAGAAAAGAGCACAAACAAAAAATTTAAACATAATCTAATTCATTAGTCATAAAATTAATTTAGAACACTTACATTAGAGAGATCAATGGGAAAATCAACAATGAGTACCCAATTGATTTGAAATAAGTCGATTTATGGATAGGAAAGACTCTTAAAATTATTGATAGATGGGTATAATTTAGTTTCTAACAAGAAGCGAGAGAAGGATGAGGCAGAGAAGAAGAAGAAAAAGCGAGAGGAGAAGAAGGACGAAGCGGAAGAGAAGAAGAAAGAAGCGAGAGAAGAAAGAAAACCCTAAGAGGTGAGGTATATGAACCGTCTATTCTCCCTTCCGGAACCCGGGAAAAAAATAAAAATGGAGAAGCGAGAGGAGAAGAATCGGAGGGGAAGAAGGCGATACCCTTTCGGAAACGAAGGAGCGAGATGAGAAGCTTCGGATCTTCTCCCTTTCGAAACCAAAAAATAAATTATAAATGAAGAAGCGAGATCGTGGAGAATGATTAAGCGGAAGAAGAAGAAGTCGAAAACCCTAATTAAAATTAGAGAGAAGATGAAGAGTTCTTCCCCATTTCGAACCAAAAAAAAAGGGAAATAAAACGTTAGAAATAAAATTGACGCCTCTCTTTAAAATTTGAAAACCACCCCATATGTTTTCAATAAACTTAATATATTAACAAAATTTGAGGCGGTTTTGTAAATCGCCTTAAGAATACCGCCTCTATACTCTCATTTTGTTGTAGTGTGGGGTCTTACAAAATCATCGGTTGTTGGATTGTTAGACCGAAGGCATGTTCGATTAGGTTGCACTTGAAGGAGGACTTTATAAAAGCATGGTCCCTAGAATCACATGTCATTGAAAACTCTTTTTAGATTGTTCAAATGGCAAGAAAACTTTAGCACTAGATATGAAACTTCCAAGGTCGGGATCCGGATCGGATTACTCGGACTCCCTTTATTGTTCTTCCCGAGCACCCTTTTTTAGGAAGTCATTAGACCTTTTGGCAACTTTTTGCATTCGAATGATAGAACTAAGAATGGATCCCATCCCATGCATGCTAGGATTTTTATGGAGGTTGATCTTACAACCATAATCCTTGATAGAAAATTGCTTCCTAGGATAACCGGAGAAACCAACATACGCAACCAATAGCAAATGCACCATTAATGATGGAAACTCAACAACTGCAGACATGGTAGATAATGTGAAAAGAGAAGCCCAACAAATAGGCATTATGAAACGATAGAGCACCCTAGCTAGCCATAGAGGCTTCCTACAATGTTCAATAAAGTCGGTAGTCATAGCAAGGCCAAAGGAAAAGAAATCTTGGTAGATCAATTGGATCCACCTTCCACACATTTGTATACGGCTACGAATAATTTTCTTCCTCTCAATATGGTAGTGACGACCAAGAATCAAATCCTAGTGATAGGGGAGATGAGTCGGGTTAATAATGGTGCGAGTCTAGTGGTAAGTAGTAGACGGTCGAACATGGAAAATACTAATCATACTAGGCCAAAGCAATAGACGAGTTACTAGATCTAAGGAAGATCATAATGGAGAGCTTTTTTCTCCTTACCTAATGAATAGCTTCATTTAGAACATCGAGGGTATAGAAGACTCAAAAAGAAAAAAAGAAAAAAGAAAAAAGAGGTACCCGAGATGACTCATTCATCAACATCGGGTAACTCTACTAATTATTTTAGACCTAAGAGAATAGGGGATGAACTACCTACTTTTGCCGGATCAATGTAGTTCTCAAGATACTTACATGGAAATCTAGTTAATAAACATATATGGGTCTTATGGAAGAATTGTATTATAGTAGAAGTGAAATTTATTTGCATGCAATCTATTATAGTGGAACCAAAGATGTAACATCCAACAACGCTATGGCCTTCTCTACGATGTATGCTAGTTGTGATAGAGTTGAACAAAGAGGATTATGGAATAGTTTACAATCCCTCCAGTTATCTATTCCATGGATTGTAGGTGGTGACTTTAATGCGATAACGAATGCCTCCGAAAAAGTAGGAGGAACACAATCGGGGATGGGATCCATTTTTTAATTTAATGATGCTATTTTGGTAGTAGGATTACGGGACCTAGGATACACGATTAATAAGTTTACATGGTGCAATTACCAAGAGGGGTTGAGAAGAGTTTGGAAAAGGCTAGACTATGTTTTGGCCAATTCGGAGACTTTGGTCGACCTTTCAAGATTGCATGGCTCACATCTAGCTCACTTATATTCGGATCACTACCCCTTGCTACTTTCTATGATTGCTACTACCCTAAAACTAGGTCGTTTCTCGTTTTAAAAAATATGGATGGTGCATGAGAACTTCTTCCCATTTGTACGAGCAAACTAGAACAGCACACTAGAATGACAAGCCTTTCTTAAACTTGTAGCTGAAGCTTAAAGCATTGAGGGAGGCCTTGAAAACATGGAATTGGAACATCTTTAGGGACTTAAACCAGAAATTAAATTAGGCTAGGGACACCGTTATTCATACAAAAGCGATGCTATGCAGCAATAGTGATCCCAAGCTAATTATAATGAAGTCTCTATAGCCAAAGAGAAGTTGGTTGCGGCGATTAACCGAGAAGAGTCGTTGCTACAAGAAAAAGCTAGAATAAAATAGTTATAAGCTAGAAATTGTAACTCTTCATTTTTTCATGAATGCATAAGAAATAGGGTTGCTAAGTCCAGATTTGAACTTACACTACTCGATGAGACTATTTGCCTAGATGATAACCAAGTTTGCATCTGCTATCGTGGAGTACTTTCACGAGCATCTCCGTGGAAGCATCCTTTCTAAAGGTAATACCTACATTAATTACCGACAATCAAAATGAAGAACTAATAAAAATACCGAACATGAAGGGAATCAAATCTGCTATTTTTTTTTAAGACGAGCCAATTGCCCTAAGACCGATGGTTTTACGGTGTTCTTTCTATAAATCTTGTTGGGAGATCATTACTAAAGATGTGGTATGGGCGATTCAAGACATGTTTCGTGGAGGATCCCTATCTAAAGATGCTACTACTACCTCCTTACTCCTTATCCCGAAATGCTCTAATCCTACAAGGTTTATCGATCTTTGATCAATTAACCTTTATAACCTTTCAAACAAAATCTTATCAAGAATCATCACCAACAAACTAGCACATGTGTCGTACACTACACCAAAAAAAAACATTGCGGGCGATTTTTTTGTCCTCTGGAGGCAGTTATACCCGCCTCTACAGATTGTAGAGGTGGTTTTAAGGATCGCCTCAAAATAGCTCGCAATGCCGCCTTCTCATGGTGTAAGGGCGGTTTTGCCAACCGTCGTGGAATTCTAAGGCGGTTGGTAGAGGAGGTTCAAACCGCCTCAAATTATTTTTTTTAAGCGGTTCCAATCACCTCTACGATACCAATATTATTTTTTAGGAGTTTTTAGCATATAATTTTTTAGACGGTTCAAAACCACCTCTACATTCCGCACGAAATATTTAGGGCATAATTTTTTAGGCGGTTTTCTATGTTCCGTAAGCTTTCAAATTTATCTAACCACCCCAAACTATAGAATTTATAGAAATGGTTATAACCCTCTCAAATTTTAGAATTCATATAAGCGGATTTTATAATTCATAGAGATGGTTGTTTAACTTCCACCTTCAAATCCAATGGTTTTTTTTTTGGTCAAAAAAACAAATAAATTAAAAAAAGTTAATCTTGTTGGATGCAAATAAAAGAAAAATTATAAAATTTACACAATATTCTTAAATTTTTAATTATTAAATTTCAAATCCATAAAAAGGAACTAAAAATTATATAACTTACACAATATTCAATGATTTTATAATTCATCTTTTTAGTAGTTCCCTTATAAAGCTCCTCAAGGCTATAAGGCAATGTTTTCTCTACTTGGAGGAGCTTGGCAAGGAGATGAATGCATTGGAAGTCCCTCACCAAAGGAACTAAAAATATCATCTCCAAACATTCCATCAAAAGACCTTGAACCACCTTTCATGCTACCACCACCTCCCATTCCTCCAAATGGGCTAGAGAAGCTAAAGAATTCGACAAAAATATCATCGGTATTTCTCCGATTGAATCCGAACATTGTCGGCCCATCTTCGATTGAAAAGAAGGTTTCTTCTCCTCGACCACTAGTATCTAGTGGTGGTACCGGCGTTTAACCCTTTTTTCTCCATATTGATCATATATTGCTCTTCTTTGAGGATCACTTAGAACCCGTTCGGTAATCAATATACAAAACTTGAGTTCTTATTTGGTTATGCATGATCTAATAATAGACCAAAATATGAGAAGCAATGAATTGTATATACACCATTAAAATAGAGCAAAATTTGATTTGGGGGGCAATCCTCAAAAGGCCGGTGATTATAAGATTTAAGTAATCCCCCGATGCTAAAATACCATTTCAATATGAAAAGTAACTAATTGCCAACATCCTAGATTAGTATCTAACCTTCTTGAATAGAACTAGCACTTGATATGGAGAAAGCGAGTGTAAACATATAATAATAAAACAAACTTAAGCCATCCGGAGTAATAATCAACAACTATTATATAAAAAATAGATACAAACCTCGTAAGCTTCGGAGATCCGTTTGAATTTTACCTCGAGCTTCTTTCTTGTTATTTGGGTTCTTATCGGGATGCCATTTCATAACAAACTTTCTATAAGCTTTCTTCGAGTCATCATCTTTAGCATTCTTGTCAACTCCGTAATATCTTATCGTAATCCACACCCATTGCTATAATAAGATTTCTGTCTTTTTTCCTTTTTCTTTAATTAGTAATTTCTTACTAAAACTTGGAAAGTTGGTAACTTGAGAGTGCAAAAACTTGTTATATACCTGGTGGGTTGTGTTTTGTTATTTGTTGAGGATATGGCGATGAGGAATTAGTTTCATAGGATTGAGTGTCGAGACAAGAGTTGGAGAAAAAATAAGAAAGAGTAGGATGTGTCTAGTATAGAGTTTGCACTACTATGCAATACATAGTTTTGCAATGAGTTTTTATTCAAAAGAATAGGATTATGTTGTTTCAAAAGTTATTCAAATAAAATTGACCAAGAAGATATGAAGAGAAAACCCTCGGGCATGTTTGCTATAGAGTTTACACTACTATGCAATACATAGTTTTGTAAGCATGTGATGGTATTGGGAATACATAAATAAAAAGGTCTAATGAGTAAATCATGATAGAGCATAAAAATAAGAAAATAAAAGAAAATCGAAATTTTTGCTTATCGAAGCGAGTAGGTACCAAAAGTCTATTGAATCCTTGCCCGACCAAAAGCTCGGATAAAGCCGGGAATAACCTTTCAGCAATAAAGGTACAACATGAGGAGCCCTACACGGATGCAATAGCTAAATCACATACTTTTTCAAAGTAATAACGCTGAAGTTAAAGAATGAAGATGGTAGAAGGCACTCGCATAGACAAAAATGTTATGTTCCTACTTTTCCAAATTGAAACTTGTGATAAAAGAGAACTTTGGATGGCATTCTTTTTTCCATATTGCCTTCCGGCTATATACTTTATTATTACATATTAATCTAACATATGAATCATAGTAAATGAAAACATTGAACAATGAGAATTTAAGTGTGCACTCATGTTGTAAAAGTCCAAATCCATAGCATTCTTTCGTCAATCACATACTAATTTTCAGCATTTACAAATGAAATACGATTGATCAAAGATAGAGATAGTAGCCGATCATCCATATTTCAGCACTTGCCAAAATATTCCTCCACTAATACTAACAAATTAAGAAAATTAAGCAAAAACTCTAAATTAATATCCAATCATCAACCCTTTTGATAGCTAGCTACACTAGTAATACGTATCATCCGCCATGTAGTCCATTATCATTGATCTCCATAAAATCTTGGCTTTCTATTTCCTTTGAATATTCTTCGGATACTTACTCTCCTTCATCATCCTATCCTTTAAAGCACGAGCAACGTTAAGCTTACGAGTTAGCCACATTAGAAAACAACTCCTAACCCATCAAAAAAATGAGGTAAGCATCCACAGTTGCTAACTTAACCTTCTCATCGATCATCTCCGGATCTTCATACATATAACGGTAAGGAGCCTTAGTAAACCACTCCATTTTCTCCTCGAGCCTTACAACATCCTTGTGTTTGCCTAACAAAGCCTTAGCCAACTTATCCAAATCAAACCTCGCTCGGATGCTAGATCCAAAATATCAACTATCAACGCGGCACATTCATATCTAAGCCATCAAGTAGTTATTCCAAACTAAACATCTATAATGCATATAAGCACACTAATTAATCAAAACAATAATAATAATAAAGAAAAAAAGATTTCTAAACCGATTAATTAGATATCCAATATAAATCAGAACTTAAAACTATAAAATAAAAAATCAAAACTTGAAACGCGAGATAAGGAAATTAGAAACACTCAAAACATAGTACAAATCGTACTTTAAATTAGCAAATGAATCAATAAATCAACGCTAGCTCAAAATACGAGTACGAGTCATACTTTAAGTTTAGCATATTAAATTGAAAATTTGAAGGTAATTAGAAAAGAAAAGAGTAGGTAATCTAATTGATTGGCCACAAAATTAATTTAGCATACTTACCATTACGAAAGCCGAAGCGAGAGGAGAAGAAAAACCCTAAGAGGAAAGGAATAATGTAGCATTCTTATCCCTTTCGAACCAAAAAAAAAGAAAAAAAGCAGAAGCGAGAAGATGGAAGAAGTAGAGAAGAAGGCTGAGGTGAAGAATGAAAGCTCTTGAAAATGAAGTGTCCGATCTTGCCCCTTTCGGAACGAAAAAAATAAAAAATGAAACACCGAAAAATCGTGAGAGAACAAATCGATGAGAATAAGCAAAGGAAGAGAAGCTGGAAAACCCTAAGGAGAGGGAAAATGTAACGACGCCATTCACCCTTTCAAAGCCAAATTAAAAAAAATATATATAGTATGAAACAAAAGTCACGTGCACCTCTGCTTAAAACTTGGGGCGATTTTGTAAACCGCCTCACAATCGTTCTATAAAAGCCACATATAAGTGCAAATGCTAAAAGACTTTGAGGCGGTTTATAAAACCGCCTCAACCTTTCCGCCTCTATTTTCGTTTTTTGTTGTAGTGGTAACACCTCATATCCAAAGAGCAATCGGGCTTTGTTAAAGGTAGACTTATCTATGAAAATGTTGCCTTAACATAAAAGCTCTTCAATGACATTGATAAGAAATCACATGGAAGTAATGTGATATTAAAAGATGATAAGTCTAACGTATATGACATACTAGAGTGGCCCTTCATCATGCTAGTTTTAAAGAAGCTAGGTTTTGCATCCAATTAGTGTGACCAAATAAACTTATGCATTAGTAATTAATGGTAGGCAATTCACCGGAATTCGATGGCTTTTAGTTTCTTGAAATCATTAAGAAGGGTAAAGCAAGGAGACCCCTATCTCTAGCTCTATTCATCCCGGGACAAGAGGCTTTCGGTAGAAACATAAAAGCTTCAATAGAAAAAGGCACCATCTTACCATTCTTTACAAGTCGATCCACGATTGTTGTTTCACATCTTCTATAATGGAAACAAAAAAAATTTGGATAGGATGATGAAGCTTTTATAAACGTACTCCTATGCAATTGGCCATACGGTTGACCTCTAGAAAAGTTCTTTTATATGCAAGCAACAAATTCTCTATTAGCGAGAAAATAACTCTTCGCAATATGGACCGGTTTCTTACCCTCTACGTACGTTGTAACTTATCTAAGGATCCCTCTATTTTAAAATAGACCATGAGGAGAGTACTTTGCAAACTTGGAAAACAAAATAAAAGAGAGAGTTACTAGGTGGAAAGGGAGATTATTATTAGCGGAAGGAAATGCCATATTGATCTAAAACATCCTAAATTCCATCCCCATTTACACAATGGGTGTACTACCCATCTCAAAAGCCAAGTGAAACAAAATGCGGGGATCTATTTTCAATTTCTTATGGAATAATGGTGGAGACAATAGGCATCATTAGGTAAATTGGAAGGCAATATGTCTACCATTATAGGAAGGGATATTATGCCTCAAAAATTAACGAGATGTTCGCGGGGAATGAAGGGAAAGCTAGCCCGGGCTTATTTAACTAGTTCATCCCTATAGAGCAACTCCATACATGAAAATTATGGGGATGCTACATCCGTGGGTAACATAAACGAAGAAAAAGTTCTCTAGTATGGAAGACACTAATCTTTCATATAGAGTAGTTATGAGACAGTACATGTGGGTGGTAGGTGATGTAAGGATTAAATTATGGATAAACAAGTGGATGATTGTTGTATTTCCTCCTCTTATAGGTGACATAGGTATATCAATTGCATAGGCTATCAAAAATTAATCCCTTTATAGATCTTTTCCATAGATAGTTCGTAGAGAATTGGATTTATTAACACTAGAAGACATGACTCCCGATAAACTTTTCTACATAGATTCGAAAACGAAGCACTTTAACCATCTGTTCATATATAGGGAGATATCCAAGTAGCCTTTAGAATTACTTTAGAGTAGCTCTAGATGTAAATATAGAAGCCGATAATATACACCAGACTTCTCGTGGCGTGGTTTCCTGCAAGTAGTAACATTCTTTCATAGAAACAATTCTCTCGAGTCCTTATTTGTAATTGTCTACTATGAGAGATTTGGTTAAGAAACAACTCATTCTTTGAGGATGAGAGAATGTGTGAGATTCGCTTCAAATACAAAGTCCTACAATGGTTGCATGATCTCACTTGATTATTCTATCCAAAGAAAGAAGCTTCCTTTCATGAAAGTATTTGTTTTGGCTTCTGGGTATACATACTCAACGAGTTACAATGGTTAGAGGAAATTGGATCAAATAGGCATTACCACCTTTGCACAAATATAAACTAAAAACAAATGAAGCCTCCGAAATAATTTATATGGTGGAGGTGGGATCATCCGGGATAATAAAGGGAATATGATAGTGGCCTACTCCCAGCTTCTACGATCCTAGAACAAATTCTAAGGGGAGCCATGGCAATGCTAGATGGTCTTAGGTTATGCCAAGTATATAACGTTCCATATAATATTTTAAAAGTTGATTCATCTCTCGATTCTAGGATGTCTATCCTCAAATATTACATGTCCATGGAAGCTA